CCGCCCGTCCGGCCGCGGTTATGGATTCAATCATTATTCAGGAGCGGTTAGTGGAGCGGCTGCTTTCTCCCCGGACGCAGGCACAGCGAAGCCACCCGGCCAAGCTGAAGGTACGGGGATGTATTTATAGCGCTGTGCAAGCCGGGGAGCAGCAGGGACAGGAGGGGGGAGGATGGTGCCCGAGCAGACATGTGCAGCACGAGATGAGACCTCTGAGGAGGAGAGGAGGGGAAAGACACTGGTAAGGGGGAGATGGTGGGGACAGAAAGGAGGGGAGCAGCCCCCGCGGGAGTAGGGCCGAGGGGCACGATGGACAGCTGGGAGATGCATGACATGTTTTTGTGTGGTTATTTGATGCAGTGATTCCCTCTCTGAATGTCGTGTGTGTGCCTGGGGCGCTCCGGGCAGGAGTTAGCACTGTGTGTGTGCCCGAACGTGGTCTGGTTTGTGTTACCGTGTTAATGCTGTGCTTTGCTAGCCGGTTTTCTTTCTGCTGCAGCAAATGCTGGTGGGCGAGTGGTTTTGTTGATACTGCCGTGCTCAGGCCCAGGCCCAAGGCAACAGATGTACGCAGGAGATGCTCCGGGGGCTGTTTGCGTTATGAATTTATGCAGCTTTCTGGCAACGAAAGGAAGCAAAGGGTCTGCTTCTCCTCTGGGGCTGGGCCATGCTGGTTCATGCGGATGTGGTGGCCGTGCCTGGCCAGAGGGGAACGGCTGGAGGAAGGGCTGCCTGGAAGGGACAGCTGGAGACTGTAACGCTGAGAGGGCCCAACCCCCCGAAGAAGTAGAAGCAGGGGCACCAGGCTCCTAGCACAAGCCCCATCATATCTGGGGTTTGTTCCAGACCTGGGGTAGGGGCTATTCTTCACATTTTCTGTGATCCTATGGTGTTTAATTTTAGCCCTTTTGAATATAGCCAGCAAGGCTCCATTTATCCCCAGGCTGAATGGTGAAGTCATTCAAGGTCTGGGTTGGTTTAAACAGCATGTCCACCAGGGAGGTGAGGAGGGAATTGGGAATGGCAGGAGCGATGGAGGCCATGCTGTGTACCCTCTCTTGGAGGTACAGACAGGCTGGCAGACACCTTCGTACCAGGGATGGCTTCTCCTCTCGCAACAGCTCCCTAATGTCTCTACCCCCGACAGGAACACGACTTAAACCCACCAGCGCTTTGTTCCTTCGCTTGCACTCCCAGGGAGAGCTCTGCCTGCCAGGGAGCCTTGGCCGGGTGGTGGAGGATGTGAGGATGGTGAACTGGCAAGCATGTGCCGAGGCAGAGTACAGACGTGTTTGCTTGGCTTGGGAAGCTTTGGCTTGTAACAGGGCCCCAAGGGTCGGCCACATCTCTTGGTGGCCTCCACCGTGATCTGTGGGGCATGTTCCCAGGCACGTGGGAGCGGGATGTCAATGGGAACAAAGGCAGCACATGGAGGAGGTGGTGGGAAGAGGGGCTCCTTGTGCTGGAGCGCCTCTGGCTTGGCTGGCCGGGGCCCTTTGCCGACAGCTGGGGCCAGCGGGGGAAGCGCGGTGCAGCGATTGTCTGTGTCAGCTTGATGGGAGCTGGCTTGCCAGGGTCAGGAGCATGTGGAGGGGTCTGTGATGCCTCCAGGACCTCCCTCGGTCCAAGTCTCTCATCTAATTAATGGATTTCAGCTTTTCACAACCCAGAGAGCCACCTGCTTCCTTCAATGGCCCTCCCAGCCCTCTACACCCACTTAGGCACTCTCCATCCCGTGCATGGTTGCTCTGCAGGTAGCATCTGTGTTGGTTCCTAATGAAGATGGTGAGTGGTGTAGAACTTAGAGAGGCAGACACCAGGCTGAGGAGTCTACTTTGGCTCCTTAAGTGCATTGTTATGTTGACACACTAGCAGAGACAGTGGCATGTGCCTGTCACAGTGTCCTGACATGGCTGGGATGAGAGCACACTGCCCGTGCATGGTTGCTCTGCAGGTAGCATCTGTGTTGGTTCCTAATGAAGATGGTGAGTGGTGTAGAACTTAGAGAGGCAGACACCAGGCTGAGGAGTCTACTTTGGCTCCTTAAGTGCATTGTTATGTTGACACACTAGCAGAGACAGTGGCATGTGCCTGTCACAGTGTCCTGACATGGCTGGGATGAGAGCACACTGGTTTGTCTTAAAGCTGAGATGAGGAACTGTTGGTCTAGGCTGGCTGTGGTACAGGAACCATGCTGTTGTTCCTGAGAGAAGGCTGTTAGAAGAAGGGGAACCCTCTCCACGATTTCCTCTTCATCTCCTGCCTTCCCCTTTACAGCCATGTTGGCTGTGGCTCCCGGCAGGGCTCTGCAGTGCTTCCATGGCTGGTCAGAGGGAGGGCATGACTGGGGCCAGGGCTCTTGTGACTCTGGCTGCTTCCCACTGCAAGGGAAGCTCTTCTCTTGGCCTTGTGCTCAGCACTGACCTTCCTTAATGCGAGGGAAATGACCGCATGAGTCACGAGTAAAGGGCAGTGTCCTGCGCCAGCTGCGATGTGCTCATTTCAGGTGTCCTCATTCCACCGAGCTATGGGGAGGCAACCAGAGGTACAGTAAAGCCACACTTTCTTGGTTTGGCTGAACAGAAACGAGAGATCAGGTTCAGCCAGTTACACTTGGCTGAAGTATGTGGAGTTGCACCAGAGCTCAGTTCCCCAGCGTCTCCCCTTAGTCATCTCGCTTAAAAACCAAAGAAAATACGAGAAGCACATCCCAAGCTTCAGCTATGGTTTTATTAGTGCGTTACTAGTGCTCTTTCACATGTCAGGTCACTGGAGAGAGCAGGTGATTGTTGTCTTTCCAAAGATCTTGCCGTTATCGCATTTCTCACCCTGCTTTTCACACCTCGTGTTTACCCTTCACAGAGCCTTTTGGGTGGCAGTTTGTGGTGTCCCCCAGGCAGGTGTTGCTTTGCCACGTGCAGCCTGTCAGAGCTGCCATCACTTTTCACCCTGGGGTCTCGTCGCTGCTCGCTGCACCGCTGCTTTGGGATGCCAATGCCTTTTAGCTCAGCCATTAGAGCTGCCAGTGGAGGGCTTCAGGCACTCTCTAATTCTCCCCACTTCTTTCTAATTTAATTTTCTCTGTCTCTTCCTGCCTTTCTGGACTGTGGGGTGGTGAAGCAGTGTTACTTCAGCTATGTTAGCAAAGTGAGGGAGACCAGAGCCTGCAGTCACTCTGTCAGGGCTAAAATGACCAAGTCTGAGACCCAAGCCAAACCTAAATTTATAGAAGGCAGTGACCACGGTAAAGAACAGTCTTTGGACCTCAATGGCCATCAGCCATGTCTGTCCTGTCTGAGTGGGCAGCTCTACAGCAGCCATAAATTGGAAGGAGGAGACTCTGTGTCCTCCCTGCTGTCTGTCCCCACCACAATTTTGCAGTCTGCCCAGCTGAGGATGCCCAAGGATGCTCACACATGTGGACATGTGGCAAACTCCCTGTTGCTGTGTGAGGCTTGAGCAGGAGGGGTGGCGCACCCTGACCTGCTCCCATCCACCTCTGCCCTACAGGATCATGAGAAGCAGTACGTGGGCTTTGCCACTCTGCCGAACCAGGTCCACCGGAAATCCGTGAAGAAGGGTTTCGACTTCACCCTGATGGTCGCAGGTGAGACTATCCATGGATGGAGGTGGCTGGTCCAGACGGTGGGTGCGTGGAGGGGACCGCCTCTCCTCACTTCCCTTAGGTGCTCCCTTAGTGTCTGGATCCTTCCCTCGCTCTGTTCTGGTCCTTGTCTCAGACCTTGCTTTGCTTCCCAGCCTGTCTTGCAGTCGCACCATTCCCCCAGGAGGAATGGGCCCCCCCGACCACTTGAGCGCACTCGAGCAAGCACTGAGTGTAGCTTCTCCTCTAACAGAGTGGCTGGTCTGGGTGGTGAAGGCAGGGCCAGCCAGGGACCGAGGGAAGGGAAGGGGAGGGAGGATGGAGGAGCTAGAAGATCATATTTGAACAAGGATTGAGACATCTTGCAGCATAAGTCCTCCCACTGCTGGAAAAATGTAATGCCTGTAAACAGCTTCTGACAGCTCATTTTTCTCACTTCCTCTGGCTCAGGATTCAAAGCCTTGTTCAGAGTTTCATTTGTAAGTCAATTAGTGGGTCATGTTGCTTGCTTTTCCCTCCTCCTCTTTGCGCTCTGTCAATTAGGAGAGTCGGGTCTGGGCAAATCCACGCTGGTGAATAGCCTGTTCCTGACAGACCTCTACAAAGACAGAAAGCTGCTCAACGCAGAGGGTAAGTTGGGGACAAAGGGGGAAAACAGTTCTTGTGCCTGCAGGTCTAGACTGTCCTAAGGACAAGTACTTTGGTTCTTTGCTTCAGCAGCAGCTACAGGCTTGGCTGGATCCCAGCCCTGCTGGTTGTTGCTCTGCTCTCCTTTGCTGACTGCAGAGGCACTGGTATTTGGGCAAGAAGGGTTCTGTCCTCTGAAGGGAAGATGAGGCCACAGAGCAGCACTAGCCATTTGGGCTGAGATGTTGAGATTTGTCTTTTGTTCTTGGGTGCTAGAGTGCGGTAGGGATTCCCCTTACAAAATGAGTGGACAAAATGTTGAGAACAGCTGGGCTACAAGCACTTCAGAGATTTATGTATCTCCTCAGTCTGTCTTTCTGCTGCTGGCCTCACACAGTACCACTTCCTTGAGGCTCCTTAGATGATGATGAGGTTTTTTTTTTAAACCCATGTTACTCCCTGTGCTCAGTGATGAGGAGGGAGCCAGCTTGTCATGGGTGTGAGCTGGGATCCCCAGTTACTGCCTGGCTTTAACTCGTGTATTCCTGTTCAAAGAGAGAATCAACCAGACAGTGGAGATCGTCAAGCATACGGTGGACATTGAGGAGAAGGGTGTCAAGCTGAAGCTGACCATAGTGGACACACCAGGCTTTGGAGATGCTGTTAACAACACTGAGTGGTGAGCAGGCCACTGCTGCCTTCCTCCTAGTCCTTGGCCACGTCTATTTTCTGTGGGCCCTTCACAGGAAGGGGGTCTGGCAGCAGGCAGGGGGTGATACTGCCTCATGATCCCTAGGAGACAGTGTCCTGTTAAACACTTGATGTTCTTTTGATTGAATTGCCCTTTCCAGCTGGAAGCCCATCACTGACTACATCGACCAGCAGTTTGAACAGTATTTCCGTGATGAGAGTGGCCTGAACCGGAAGAACATCCAGGACAACCGAGTGCATTGCTGCCTCTACTTCATCTCGCCCTTCGGGCACGGGTAAGAGCCCCCTCTCTGGGGCTGGGGTATGACTTGGAGGGAAGACCCTTGTGCCCCAGGATTGCCCTGTAGCGGCTTGTGCATTGGCATGGCTGTTGGCATGGGAGAAGAGCCATCCAGCTGCTTTGCCTTGGTTGAGCACCACACCACCTCCCGCCACCTCGCTGGCATGACACACTGCCTGTGATCAGGCGGAGCGGATCTCCCTCAGGCCTTACAGCCTGTTTTGGAAATCAGGAGAAATAACGCCACACAAACTTGCATCTTCCTGCCTAGCTAAGCCTGACTGATGGGTAGGAAAGGCAGTTTTAAGATGCCTTCAGTCCCTGCCTCTTGCTGGCTCCTGTGCCAGCCTAGCCTGGAGCAGCTGGAGGGGTCGTGTTGGCTGCCTGCAGCACGGGGCAGCCAAAGGGAGGCCCCAGGCTGTGTCCTGGGCAGTATTTAGCCTGCAAGGGAAGCAAATACGCAGCCTGTGTCTGTGTGAGATGTTTAGCAGCTAAAATCTGAGACAGCTTTCCTGAAGATACAGCCCTAGCTGAGGGCTGTCCCAATGCCGCCTCAGGTTCTTGTGGCAGGTTCTTTTGCCTTCATGCTTGGTGGGTGGGAGAGGCTGGAGGGGGAGCTGTCCAGTGTGTCCTTGCTAACTGTGTCCCTCCTCATCCCTGCTGCAGGCTGAGGCCTGTGGATGTTGAGTTCATGAAGGCTCTGCATGAGAAGGTCAACATTGTGCCGCTGATTGCCAAAGCTGATTGCCTGATCCCCTCCGAGATCCGGAAGCTAAAAGAGAGGGTGAGATTCATTTCCTCTACAGGGACATACCTGATGTGGTGGCAGGGATGGGCTTAGAAGGGAGGGGAGATAGAGAGATACATATACATGCATACACACACATATATATGTACGTGTGTGTGCGTGTGTATATATATGTATGTATATAGTGCATGTGTGTATACACACATAGTACCTGCAAATCTAATTGCAGCAGTGCTCTGCTGTGAGAAGGGAAGTGGTGTCTGCAGAGAGGCCAGCTCTAGAAGAAACATCAGATCCTTTCACTGTCTGTAGGCTATAGCAAACCCAATGTAGCACAAACAGGGAATAAATCCAGCAGTTCTGTATTGTTCAGTGTTGTGTTCTTTTCTTTTTGTCTTGTATGGACACAGATCCGAGAAGAGATTGACAAATTTAGCATTAAAGTGTACCAGTTTCCTGAATGTGACTCTGATGAAGATGAGGAGTTCAAGCAGCAAGACAGAGAGCTGAAGGTAAGGAACCTGCTTAGCAGGGGACTGGGAAGTCAGGCTCATGGGTATGTCAGTTGCTCCAGAAGGAGCCAGAGCTGCGGCCCTGTGTGTGCCAAAGGCCTGTGCTACTGATACCCGTGGGACAGCCTACATTGGCTCAACATGTAAGATGGCCTGGAGGAGGTGCTGATGTCCTTGCTGGTGCCATGAAGTCAAGTGTGGCTTGAAGACATAGCACTTCTGCTCTCCCACCAGGCACTGTCTTCCTTGGTCTATCCCAGCCTGTATGTTTAAGATGAAGGCCGGGCTGTACAGCATTTGTAAGTACCTATTTGAGTGATGCCATCAGCAAGGAGGAGCAATTTGTGAATGATGAGGCACCACTGTGACACATTAGTTGCACAGGGGGAGATAACACGATCATCCAAGCCTGTCTGGAGGCCCCAGCAGCCCAGGCCTGACCCTCTCCCAGGCTGAGCCAGCCCTGTGTGTGCATGCGGTATGGCTTGGTTTCTCCTATCAGAGAGGTGCAATGGGCTTTGACTCCCTTCTGAGCAGAGAGGAGCACAGCCTGTACATCCCTGCCTGGACAAGCTCTTGGCCTACATTGTCCCACTTGCTTGGTGTCCAGCCTCTGCTTGGGTTTCCTTGTAGAGCTTCCCCTCAAAGAAAGGCTGCAGGCACCTGCAGAGAGACAGCTTCTCTCAGGACAGCTAAGAATGTCAGGCTGGTGTGATGAGTTAATCTTGCTTGGATGCCAGGTGCCCACCAAAGCCGCTCTGTCACTCCCCTCTCCAGCAGGACACAGGAGAGAAAAAAGGTATTGAAAGGCTCATGGGTCGAGACAAGGTCAGGGAGAGACCATTCACCAGTTACTGTCATGTGCAAAACAGACTCAACTTGGTGAAATTAGTTTGATTTATTACCAGTCAAATCAGAGTAGGAGAGAATAAAAAAACCCCTGAATCTTAAAACACCATCCCCCAACCCTCCGTTCTCATGGGCTTAACTTTACTCCCAGTTTTCTCTGCCTCCTCTGCAGGGGGACGGGTAATGGGTGTTGGGGTCAGTTCATCACATGTTGTCTCTGCTGCTCCTTCCTCCTCAGCCTGCCCCACCAGGGGCTGCACCAGGGGCTGCAGGGGAATCTCTGCTTTGGCACCTGGAGCACCTCCTCCCCTCCTTCTGCACTGACCTGGGTGTCTGCAGGGCTGTTTCCTCTCGCACCCTCTCACTTCTCTCTCTCTGGCTACCGTTCCACAGCAGTTTTGGGTTTTGGTTTTGGTTTTTTTTTTTCCCCTCTTTAAATGTGTTATCCCAGAGGCGCTACCACCATTGCTGATTCACTTGGCCTTGGCCAGCAGCGGGTCCGCCTTGGAGCCAGCTGGCATTGGCTCTATGGGATGCAGGGGAAGCTACTAGCAGCTTCTCAGAATCCACCCTGTAGGCCCCCTGCTATGAAAACCTTGCCAAGCAAACCCCATACAGCTGGGAATCGGGCTGCCTGCAGATCCCAGTGCCTTAGGCTTTTCTCTGCAGCTGGGTTGTGGTGTCCTGTGCTGTGGCACATGTGGATGTCCCTGTGCCCTTCCTACTATCACCTTCTTCCTCCTGTTCTGCTCCAGCTGAGCTTGGCCCTTTGAGAAGGAATCCGTGGGCAGCCCTGGGCTGAGCTGGGCTGAGCGTTGCCTCTCATTGCAGGAGAGCGCTCCCTTTGCCGTCATCGGCAGTAACACTGTGGTGGAGGCGAAAGGCCAGCGAGTTCGTGGACGGCTCTACCCCTGGGGCATTGTGGAAGGTAAGTGTGGTGCCTGGGAGCTGGCACTGTGAGCAAGGGGCAGGCAGGCCCTTGCAGTAGGGACAGCAGGGGAGAGCTCACCTCTGTGCAGCCGTGACTCTGCTGCCTTTGGTACATGGCAGGCGACAAGGTAGTGTAGAGACAGAGGCACTGGGACCAGCTCAGGAGGTCTGTTACTGGGGATGTAAGCAATCACCCTGCCTCTGAAGCCACGACAGACTGAAGAAGAGAGGCTCGAGCCTGAATGGAAGAATGCCTAGGCTTTAATGCACTAGAATATGGCTTCTTATTAGGATGGGGAGGCTGGGCGTTGCCAGTTTGTTTTCTGGGGAGAAGCCATTGCCCTCAACCAAACTGAATCGTAAACCCTCCTGCACCCCTCCTCTGCTGTCGCTCCTGTATGTGCGGGAGTCACTGGGCTGGAGGCTGCGCTGATGCACAATGTGTTTGTCTCTAACTTTCTTTCTAAAGGGAGAAATTTCAAAAAGCCTGTAGGCGGAATAACCCTGGCATGGCTTTTGCTGCTGTTGCTGACTCCCCCCATGCTGGTGCATTGCTTTAAGGTCTTGCAACTTTAGATCCCAAAATCTTGTGTGTGCACTCGCAGGCTGGTGCTGGCTGCTTGGGCTGCCCAGCTGCTGGCTCTGCTTTCTCACTGGCCCCAGAAGGGGCTGTGCCTGTCAGGGTGCTGGCATTTGGCAGTGGGATCAACTTTGTGAAACCCTGGGCCTGACGCAGCCGGCTTCACCCAGCCCTGCAGAGAGGTAAATGGAGATCACTATGGCAGGCCCACAGCTACTGAGCACAACGCTTCCCTGCAGAGCCCCGCAGCACTGTCTGGAGCCTGGCTCCCCATGGTAACTACAGCTCTTTCAGCTCTCCAGATCATTACTTGCTCATGGCTTTGCCCCTCAGGGGCTGATTTTTGCCTACAGGGGCCTTTCGACCAGTTCTAAATTCTGAGGAGATGAGCAGTTTGTCTCCAGCACTGGCTGTGCTCGCTGTGGTTATAGCAGTGACATCCCATGTACCTGGGAGCAGCATCCTCATCAGGGCTCTGCTGTATGTGCCTATTTAATCCTCTTACCCAGAAAAAGTCCTGGGAACACAATGACCTCAGCAGCCTGGCCTTGATGTCAAGAAGCACTGAGCATCATCGAGGCCTGGGCCAGGGCCAGGGGGAGAGCCCCAGGCAGTGATGGGGAAGAGTGAGGGGAGGATGAGAAAGGGGCCCTGGGGGAGTTTTGGTCCAGCCTAGGTGCCAGGAAGTGAGAAGGGGCTCCCTGGTGAGGTGTGACATCCAAGCACTCTCCTGTTGTTGCTTCTGCAGTGGAAAACCAGGCACACTGCGACTTTGTGAAGCTGAGGAACATGCTGATCCGGACACACATGCATGACCTGAAGGACGTCACTTGCGATGTCCACTATGAGAACTACCGAGCTCAGTGCATCCAGCAAATGACCAGGTAAGTCTCCACCACTTCAACCAGAGGTGGCAGGGGTGTCTCACTCTCTGCGGAGCTGGGGTTGCTCTCAGGATGCTTTTCGGTCAGGAGGCTGTGGGTCTGCTGCGGACATGCTGGGCTGCAGCCTGGAGAACGGCACTGGGAAGTAAAATAGCAAATCCAGGCTTGTCTCCCACAGCCTGAACCCATGGTGGGGATGCTTCTGAGAATCCATGTTCCTGGCTGAGGATTCCCCATGCAGATCTTGGGGAAATAGGCCTGGAGATTCTTTTGAAGAGCTGTTCCTAGCACTGGGTGAAATACATCCAGCCTAATGAAACAGAAGATAAACCATCTCTCTGGTGGATGGTAGCTGTGTGCACTGCCAAATAGGAAGGCATTCTACAGTCTACAGTTCTGTCCTAATGACAGTATGAGCCTTGGGATGCTGTTGTTTCTCAGGCAACAGAGCCCAGGCAATTAGCAAGACTCTTAACACATCTCTAAAGATTTCTCTGCGTTTTCTTCCTGTTGTATTTGATTCTCTATGGTTTTAGTCACAGTGATCAGAAAATAGAAGAGAGAGCACTCCTAGGCTTCTCATTTGAAACCTTTTTTTTTCACCCTTCTCCCTTCCATGACTGGAATACTGTTGACAAATTTTAGGTTTAAGTAGGTCCTGGCTCATCTGTTGTAAACCATCCCTCTCACTTCCTGCTTGAACTGGCCGGGTAGCTCTGTGCTGCCACGTTGCAGAGCAGAAATGGCTGTGCTTCACCAAGGAACAGTCCTGCGTATGTGCAAGCGTGGAGGTTGGCACATTCGGTTCACACACAGTGTATCTCAGTACTGTTGCATAGCAGACGAGCCTGTCTTTTTCAGAGTGAGAATATGGAGTCCCAAAATAACTAAGTTAAATGCTAGAGATCTGTGAGAAGTGTCACAGCTGCTGTTGAGGTGGGCTATGTAGCTATTAAAAGAAGAGCACGATTAAAAAGCAATTGCTCAGCTTAAGAAAAGCTTAAGTTCGTTACCATTTCTCATGCCATGGCTAGTTCCAGTGAACAAGTCTCAGAAAACCAGAGTGTGGCCATTTCTAGCAGTGGGTTAAGGGTCCTTGTCTAGAGAGACGTTTTGGGAGGAGATCCCAAGCTCTGGGGCTGGAATTTGCTCAATAACGACCCAACGGTGACTCCAAGTGGTGAATGCCTGCAAGTGGCATCTTGAATTCCCAGTTTCCGTGGTTTTGTCTACTATCACCCTCTCCTCACCTATGGAGAGCTCCTCTGACTTTTGGACAAAAGTCACCTCCTTTCTCTGTCCCTTGCCTGCACTTGTGTGCACCCCCAGCCCTCATTGCAGTGCTGCTGTGCTCTGCCTGTTGTGTCTCATGTCTCCCACCTCCTGAATATGAAGGCAGGCTTTGTTACCAGACTTGGGGTGATTAAACTGCTCCCCTGGTTTTATCTTCCTGGAGGAAAAAAAAGGACCGTGGTGAGCAGGGGGATTGGACTAGATGATCTCCCGAGGTCCCTTCCAACCCTTGCGATTCTGTGAGCGTGTGGTACCTTAAGGATGCTGATAGTTTGTGTTGGTGCTGCGTGTGTGTGTGGGCGTATGCACAGATGAGCCAAAGGAGACCAGACAAATTGTCTGGAAATGTCTCTGCTATGTGCAGTTACAAAAGGTGGTCAGAAACATCAGCCTTTTCTGTGTTTGCTCTCAGTGTTAGCCCGGTTTGGCTTTTCTCTGTTAGCTACCCGCAAGCTTCTATTTTGAAAATTTCTAATGACTTTGGTCTCATTCTGCATCTGAGTGTATCCCACACCTCTGGGCTAGATTGCCCCACAGCCCCTCCAACTGTCTGGGTGCATGGTGCCACGTTACTGGCAGTTCTGCCATTGTGAGTGAAAGCCATCACGAGGTGACACCAAAGCCAACCAGCCTGAGCCACAACTGACTGCATTTCTTCCCTCTCTCCATCTCTCTAGCAAGCTGACTCAGGACAACAGGATAGAAAGCCCAATTCCTATCCTGCCTCTCCCAACACCGGACACTGAGACAGAGAAGCTGATCAAAATGAAGGATGAGGAGGTGAGACCCATTTCTGCCTGGGCCTCCTTGGTGTTGGAACTGGAATCAAGGAGTTTCTCCAGGATTGCCCCATAGACGCTGTTCTGGGGCTTCCCACTCCTGCCTCCCACTGTCATGGGCTCCTGGTGTGGAGGACAGTGTGTAAAAGCCGTGGCTTCCTCTGTCAGGGAAATGTGGGTCGATTCTACCCCAGACACAGATGCCTCTGTGCTCAGGCAGGAGTTAATACTTTCTGAGGGATCCCTTTGTCAGCCCCAAGGGGCTGCCCCCAGTGCTGATCACCAGCTCCCAGCCACAACAGATCCCTTTTTAACTCTCTCTTCTCTGTCTCATGCAGTTACGGCGAATGCAAGAGATGCTGCAGAAGATGCAGCAGCAGATGCAGGACCAGTAAGAGGACCAGTGACCATCTGAGGCCTGGCAAGAGCTGTGGACGTTTAGAAAAGGTTTCGTGTTGTATAGAGACTTGTGGGCAAGACCTGTACCCGCACCCTCTAATTTATTAGCAGCAATGCTGGCTTTGCAGTCAGCTGGATTGTGGAGGAGGCTGTTCATTTAACAGTTTACTGATGTGTACTTCTTTTTTAATAATTATTCTTTCTTTTCTTTTTCTTTTTTTTTTTTTTTTTTTTTTTAAAGAAAAAAAAAAAAAGAAAATAGCCTGGGAAGTCTCTAAGGCATCCTAAAAAAGAAAAAAAAGAAAAGAAAAATATCTCCCTTTCCCATGTACTAATCTCTTGTTTGGGAATGCTCTGGTGTTTAAAGTCCTGGTTTCTCTGGTGTACGAACTTGAAGACTATCTGTGTCAATGCACGTGAATGTTTACTCCCAACTGAGGTGCTGTGCCCCCCTCCCCGTTCCTTTGTCCGGGGCCAGCACAAGCATTGCAAAGGCAGCCGTACCCTCCTCTGAGTTTGACCTGTGCTGCTCGGGCTCCTCAGCCTGGGGCCAGCTCTGGCCCAGAGAGCTGGGGCTGGGGGTTTCTCTGTGCACTGACCTGATCAGGGGTCCTGATGGTTGCCTGGTTTCCTGTCTGGGTTTTTCTAGGGTTTTTTGGTTGGTTGGTTTAGTTTTTCCTATCAAGAAGCTCCAGCATCTTTGCACTGAGCAGCAAGGGACTGAGTCTCTCGAGGTCAGTTAGAAGAAAATGGCTTCTACTGCTCTCAGTTATGTCTTTCTGGCAGAGAGGATGAGTTGTTGACTATTGCCTGTAAGTAGATGATGGGAGTGAGCACCTTCCTAGCCTTGGTTTCCTCCCACAGCAGGCCAGAGGTGTTGGTAGAGGAACCCCAGGGCCCTGCAGTAGCTGGGTGAGGGTGTCTCATGGTTTAGCTCTGGTCATTCAGCTACAGTGTGTCTCCATCATCTGCTCTGAAAAGAAAGCATCATGGCAGCCAGAGCGCTTGGCTGGGACTGCTTTGCAGGGGGTAGAAACCCTAGGGCTGAAATCCAACCCCAAATGCAGAGCTGTGCCCTACCCCCAGATCGAGGTCCCACAAGCACATTGCTGGCTCTGAGCTTCTGCCGCGGAAAGGGGCAGTTTTGGTAGGCTTGTACCAGAGATCTGCCGGCCGCCTGTCCAGGTAGGTGCTGGGTCACCGTGGCTGGTGCAGGAATGTCACTGCATGGGGCTGAGCACAGCCCAGCAGACTTGGCACTTGCTCCCCTGCCCTTCCCCTGGGACTCAGCCATTCTCCCCCTCCCTGATCCGAGGCTCTTCCTGTCTCAGTGCTGGGAAGCCTGGTGGATCTGCTGGGCAGAGATAAGAGCACTCTTTGGGCAGCAGCTTCTGTCCCATTCTTGCTTCCTGCAATATTTTTAACTTTAGTCCAGCCAGAGCAGAGCCCCGGAGTTTGATGTGCCTGACAGGGCAGGCCTCACCAGCAACTCTGCTGTGCTCACAGGGAATCGGAGCTGTTGGAGGGAGAGACCCTTGGCTCTTCCCTCTGACTCCAGGGAGTGCTGCCATGGGCTGTGCCCTTCTGCTCCTCTGGCTCCCGGACTGATTCCTCTGTCCCCTTTTCCGCTTTGTATCTTCTCTTCCATCTCTGTCTCTCCCGGTAGATCTCCCTGGGTAGGAAGCACAGTGTTGGCCAGGAATAACCAGGCCCTAAATTCTGTTATTAGGTGCTGCGTTTGACTGATTCCTCCCATGGGGCTTTGGAGTCCTGATCGGGGCTTATCCAGGTGGTGAGTAGGTTGGCTGGTTCCAGTTATTCACTGTACCGAGCCTCAGCTTAGGCAGAACATGGGCTGCAGGGGCAGGGAGAGACCCTGGCACAGCGTGGGAGCCCCTTGGCAGAAATGTGCAAGCTGGGCAAGAGCAGCATCCAATAATTTTTTTTTTTTTTTTATTTGTTTGTTTCTTTCCCCCCTGTATTGTGCTCATAAGTGACAGTGGCAGTGCCAGCCTAGGAGAGGGGAAGGGTTCAGCTTGTCTTCAGTAACATGCAGGACCAAGGTGCTTAAGGAGGAAATACAACCTTTCTTTGTGAAATGTGCTTAACTGAGCAGTGGAGTGAGTAGCTTGAAACAGGAGCTTCCTTCGGGTTTTCTGGAGCTGGTTTGCTGCTGCCTGAAGCAGGACTGCCAAATTATCAGCTTTATCCATGCAAGCATAACAGGAAACACCTTGCAGTACCTATTTTCTTACAGTCCCCTATTTTCTTATGCTAGTCTTGTCCCTGAAGAGGATGTTCTATTGCAAATGAGGCCTGTCCAGTTGGAGATGTTCCTCTTTTGAACACAGTCATTCCTAGAAGACAAAGGAGACCTTTACCCTTTAGCATGGACATAGAGGAGCTGACAGGTTTTATTGCAGGTTGTGTGCAGAAGTGCTGTGTGCTGGTGAGAGCACAGGGTACTCTGGTCACAGGCAGGTAGGATTACTGAGGGTGAATCTGCCCCTGTCCCTATGGGCGAGGAAGTCTCCCTCAGCTCAGTGCACGTGGCTCCTACATCAAGTCGATAGTCACGGGTCCTCTACAGATTGCTGAAGCCTTCCGCTACCAGCTGGCAAAGATGGTTCAAGTTGCACTTAGGAAAAAAATGCAGAGGAGTGAGGCACCAGAGATGGCTTCTACAGAGGGCCAGTGGTGCGGCTGAGACTGCGTCTCTGCATAGGAGGTTCCCTGCCCAGAGCACCAGAGTTTGGGGGCTGCCTGGAAAGGGTTTAGAGATTGACTTTGGGCACCAGGGATTCAGACTCTGTCCTGGAAGGTAGAATCTGTTTATTAAAAGAGGAATGGTTTTTGTACTGCTGCGTTGAGCTGCACAGAAAGCAGAGAAGAGACTCCTGGATAAATGTAGCTTGGCCATTTGGCTCTGGCAGTGAGAAGTGTGGATGGGAAAGTAATTTAACACCTCCCCTCATGCAACCTTCCACAGCCTCATATGCGACCCCTGCACCCCCAGGCACATTCCTGCGCCTCTGCCAAGCTTTGCCCTGCTGAGTGAGTCGCTGCAAGGGTTGTGTCCCACTCCGCAGAGCTGTCCCAGGCTGCAGCTGGGGCTGTCGGTAAGACATCTCAGACCTTGTGCCTGACTGGGGAGGGGGCTGTGGCACGAACTCCTTATGTGCTACTGCCGTGCTGGTCCTGCCTGTGCGGTCCTTGCTGCCTCCCCGCATGCCTCCCTCCAGAGAAGGAGGGGGTCCCACTCTTCGTGCTCTGTGATGGCATTCCCTGCTGCTCCTCACAAACCCCGCTGTGCTTTAACGCTGGCTTGCTCCTGCCATGTGACTTCCTCACCCCCTACTCCATTCCTAGGCTCTTTGTTTCCTGTCCATCTGTTGGGTTATTATAATATATATTTTTTTGTAAATTTCTGTTTGAACATTTTGTCATTGTGAACAAAGAAAAATGAAACCTTTTAAAACATATCCATTTTATTAAATGATTATTGTTATTATTATTATTATTAATAACGTTTACTACCTGAATTGATCAGTGAAATAAATACATTAAAAAACCCAACCTCTTTCTGTTTAATTTTCAGTCCCCTTGAGCAGCATCAGTGATGCATTATGGGCAGGAGAGAGCAAAACTGATGCTGTTTCTCCTTTTATCCAATTCTGTCGGAGCAGGCTCCAGGCAGGGCTTCCTGCATGGGATTTCTGGCCTGTGTTTATGTCAGAAGCTAGACAAGATGATCGTGAAGTTCTTCTATCTTCAAGGTTCTCCTAAGAGTGGTGTCTAACTTAGCCATGGGCAGCTGAGCAGGATCCAGTCCCAGGATATCCATTTTGTAAGTAGCCAAAGGAGCTTTACTGAGTCTGTGCTGTGTGCAGAGCCAGGATGGTCTGACTCTAATCAGCTCCATGCTGCACCTGGCCTGAACACCTGCCTGTGAATAAGTGTAGCACCAAATGCATGAGACATTGCTGAGCAAACTTACCCTGTGGTAGTCAGGCTGCTCCCAAGCGGAAAGCAGGCCCTGGAGGAAGAATTGGGTTTGTTTGTTAGCCTGAGATCTCTTTCCCACTCTGCCTGCCTGCCACAGTGAAACAACTGGAATGATCTGCTCCAATTTACTAGAAATGTAAAGCCTAATTGCTTTATTTAGAGCATATTTTCCTAAATTCTGCTGTTGTTTACACCTGAAATTCTCTTTTAACATCAACACATTCAAGGCATTGATCATTTCTGCTCTATACAATGTCTGCAGTACAAGGTAATGGAGAGTTGGTCCCAATGGGGCAAGAGTTTTGCAATGTAATTCTGGTGGCCTTATCCTAAGGAGCGTAGCCGATGCCTAGAGTCAGGCTGATGGCAGAAAAATGTCTGTGAAGGTGCAACGGCCTTAAGAAGACAAGTCTGAGTGTCAAAACTACATTTAGGTAGAATCTTATCGGTTCAATTATTGGTTTAATGCAGCTTCTGAATAAAAGACATGGTCAGTCTTTCTCGGTAATTGAAAGCTGTACTTGTCGAGAGCTGCCAACTCACTTGGCTCTCAAAAGAGCAGTTCCTCGGAGCACTATCTTTCCCAGTCCTGTGAATCTAACAAGTTTATTTTGATGTAGACAGTGAAATGCCAAAAGTTACATTTTATCCCTGTAACAGTCATGAGAGGATGCAAGTGCCTGGAGGATCTTTCTTCTTGGCTCAACTATTGACACCCGTGTGGTCAATGGAAGTCCATTTCTTTCAGCAGATCTTCCACTGCTATTTAGGAGTATGTGTGTCGCCCCTTCAAGGGAAACCTCAGGGTCAGCACACTGCAAAGTGCTAGGTCTCACTACTCTGCCAAATAGAGTCTTCTTGATGAGATGGGAAACCACAGGCCATAGTGCTCAGGGAGCGTGGCACAAACCAGTAACGTCACCTTCCAGGTTGAAATGCATTCTGAGTTACTTTGCGATGTTTCTGTTGGGCTGAGCGTGTGGGCTCAGAATCACAGTTATCAGTACTGTCAGCATCTCTCCCAGCAAACATGCTCTTGCGAGCAGCATCAGCTCCCATTTCTTGGAAGACTTGCTCAATGAAGCCTCAGCTTCCGGTGACATGCAGCAAACTTGCAGGAAGGCCTCATGGGAGGTGTCCCTGGGCTGAGCCTGACCCTTATCTTGCCAGCCAGCCGCAAGGGGATTATCTGTGAGCTCAGTTATGCAGCTGCAAATACTCTTGCACTGGCTGGAGTGCCTTAAGACCTTTTGTGTTGTAAAGCCAGCAAGACAGCAAGGATTGAACTACTCTGGTAAGTCAACAAAGCTACCTTCTGTTCTTTTTTTTTTTTGTTGTTGTTGTTTATTTGGTTGCATAGAAAAGCACTGTTGCAGTATGTGTAGTTGTTCTAAAGAAGTTACAGTAGCTCATGTGTTCAGCAGTGGCATGAAACTGCAACACAAAGACAGCTTGTTGACCCATGTCTTCCAGCACGGTCACAGCTCCAGAAGGAGATTATTCACCTGCTGGAGCAATGGCTGGCATGGAAGACTCCACCAACTTCCACATTTGGTGGTCAGCACCCTCTCTGCTGGCCAAGGACCATTTATTACTTCTTTTCAAATCTGGAAAGGCTATTTCTTACTTGTGGTAACAGTAATTTTATTTCTGAATCTCCTCTTGCAGTTTGCATGAAAAAAATTTTGCTTACAGATGTAATTCAGAGCCATGATAAGGCATGAGCAGTTTCGTATTCTAATTTTTGATTCCTTGACATAAATTTTCTTGGCTCCCCTAGTAATGCACCTTCAGTAATGCTGAAAATACAAGCAGCTCTTGTACACTTCTGAGGACTAGTGAAAATGAATTTGGTGGCTGCAGCTAAGCCTCCCAGTAGCCATCTGTTCATATCCCTCCTCAAATCCAGGGTTGGAAAACCAGGAACATTGCCTCTCCTGTAATGAGAGACCAAGAAACTGCACGCCTCTTTTAACTCTGTTCTTTTCAGAGCTCTCACATCTCCTGTGAAGGACACCAAATTCAACCAACTTTAGCAACTCATCCTCAGAACAAAGGAACAAATAGACCTGGGCTGTGGTGTCAGTCCTAGTGTGGTGTCTACTTGCCTGGTCTCCACTTCATCCAGTCTCACCAGGGGAGTGTTTGCAAGTGAAGATGAACAGTGGAATTCTTTTCTTGTCCCTCCTTGGCTTCCTCCCACTCGTGATACCCATATGCCCTGTGCCATGCAAGTGTGCCACCAACATTATTGACTGCACGTCAAAAGACCTAACTGTAGCAAAACTACCAGTTGCATTTCGCCCTTCGGCTGAAATTATCCAGCTTGGTTACAACAGGCTCACCTCTATTCCCAATGGGCTCTTTGACAACCTAAAGAGCCTCCAGGTAGTCTACCTGCAGGGCAACCCTTGGGAGTGCAACTGTGACATCCTCTACCTGCGCTCCTGGCTCCAGTGGCAGCAGAACCGAACCTTATACAGGGATGTGAGATGCAGCTCCCCAGCTCACCTGCAGGACCGGATCATTGCCTATCTGACAGAAGAAGAGATCATCTCCACATGCCAGTACTGGTACTGCAGCCTGGCTCTCCTCTCTCAGCTCTGTCTCTTCATCCTCCTTTTCCTCCAGGGTATCTTGGTTATCTTCATTGTTGTCTACCTGCAAAAATTTCGGAGAATGACCGCTGAAGCCTGAGGTACCACCCGGGATCTATACCAGCACGTAGACACCTGGGTACCTTCTTCAAGTAGCCCCTACAACAGTGATTAGCATCGCCAGACTGAAGACCCTGCCTTCCCCTTGGGTGATGCTGTGCTAAAGTCATGTGGTTTTTGACATCCAGAGGGGACAATTCAATGCAGCATCTGATCCTGACTGCAGAACGAAGCAGGACTTGAACTGATCAGACGCTTGCTGTATTTCCAAAGACCTGATCTTGTATTTTTTAATGCTTTAAACTCTTTAGCATGGTCTTGATTGCTTTGCTGAGCTGGGAGTGGTTCTGGTTTGGTAGACTAAGGAAATCATATACTACAGCAACCAGAACTGACTCAAACTGCTTGTAAGCTTGTAGGGACTATGGTGCTTGATCCCTCCTCTGCTAGAGTATTTCAGCCATACTTTCCATGATGCTTCTGGTCGCATTGGGTCAGGTGAGGACAGAGGTGGGCAGTGAACAGTTAAGGTATTGGACTAGGGCAATGGAGAAGTACAGTTTCCTTGGTGCTACTGCAGATTGCCTTAGTAACTTTGGACAAGTGACTTGGTCTTCTCCTGCCTCCGTTTCCCATCAGTGAAAGGGAAAGGATGTTTATTCTTGCTTGATGCATCTTTCCCAATGTTCTTCTGAGGGAGGGAGGGAATGTTTAGAAGCCTAGCCATTTGCCCTATCTTCATTCCTTTTAATCTACTTCTAGTTTTAATACTGACTTCAACACCTATTGAGTCAGTCTGGGGCCCCAAATGTTTATGAGAAATTTACACTGAAACCAAAAGTTGTTGAAACCAGAGGCTCTTTCTGACTGTGCTTGTAGGGCACCTGGCACGAGAGCTCCAGAGGTCTTTAGAGTCTCAAACTGCAAAACCCACTCACTGACGTGCCTACTGCTGGTTATCATAGAATCATTTTGCTTGGAAAAGACCTTTAAGATCATCAAGTCCAACCGTTAAGGTAACACTGCCATCCTACCACTAACCCACGTCCCTAAGCACCACATCTACCTGTCTTTTAAATACCTCCAGGGATGGGGACTCAACTACTTCCCTGGGCAGCCCATTCCAATGTTTGACAACCCTTTCTGTGAAGAAATATTTTCTAATGTCCAACCTAAACCTGCCCTGGCACAATTTGAGGCCATTTCCTATGTTATTATGTCCCTCAATTATTTTTGGAACAAAGCAAAGTTGAAATAAAATAATGACGCGTGATGATGTAAATTACTTATTTTTCCATTCCACACTGGGTATCTTCCACTCTGCACTCCCTTACACTCAAGCTTTGTGCCAAGTGGAACGAATGCCAAGGGCAAGGCGGAGATGTTCCCAGAAGTGCACCATAGGGTTGGACTTTGACCGCTGCTGGCTTCCACAATGGGAGGGGTCTAAATACGGCCTTCTTCCTCCTGCCCCTAAGTTGCTGCTTGGTTTTATGAGATGGGGGCTGGAGAGGGAAGGGTGTTCCTTGGTGCCAGCACTCATAGAATCGCTTTGGTTGGAAAAGACCTTTAAGATCATCGAGTCCAACCTTTAACCTAACCCTGCCACCCGACCACTAAACCGTGTCCCTAAGCACCTCATCTATCCTTCTTTTAAATACCTCCAAGGATGGGGACTCTACCACCTCCCTGGGCAGCCCATTCCAGAGCCTGACAACCCTTTCAGTGAAGAAGTTTTTCCTAATATCTAACCTAAACCTGCCCTGGCGCAGCTTCAAACCATTCCCCCTCGTCCTATCATCTGTTACCAGGGAGAAGAGGCCGACCCCCACCTCACTACAGCCTCCTTTCAGGTAGCTGTAGAGGGCGATCAGGTCTCCCCTCAGCCTCCTCTTCTCCAGACTAAA